CCGGTGTCCGGCGTAACCGGCGCCCAGCGTGACCGGTGCCCGGCGTAACCGGCGCCCAGCGTAACCGGTGCCCGGCGTAACCGGTGCCCAGCGTAACCGGTGTTCACATAACCCGTGCCCGGCGTAACCGGCGCCTGGCGTAACCGGTGCCCAGCGTAACCGGTGTTCACATAACCCGTGCCCAGCGTAACTGGTGCATAACCAGGAGCAGGCTAAGTTGAGAAATGACTAAAAATTATCGGCTTAACGCATGGACGATCCCGGTGTTCCCTGGCAAGGTCGGTCACAGATGTCACGAGGTGTGTTTATTATCCGCTTCCCGCAAGAGCAAACATTAGCGTCACTGCAATCGCTCAAACACTAAGACGCACTTTCAAACGTGGCGTCTCGCTAGGGAACCAGAAGACCCAGGGGCGTACGCATGGCCTCACTGTGACCTGACGGGGAAGCGGAGCACAACTCAAAAAATGTTCGTTGAAAACCGAGTTGAGCGTGCCGCAGGCACGTCTATTGTTTGGCGTGTCGTCAAACAACAGGGCATGCTTTTTGATCTTTTGTTTACACGAATATCCGAATATTTTACTTAACCTTGGGCCACGTACGTTCCATAAATTGCGTAAGGGAGCTGAAAACGTACGCACCCTCTCCTAAGAACGTCAGGTCTGCCAGTTCCAAGCGAAAGTCAAAGAAGCCCCCTCCCCAGTTCGACTTCCATCAGCGTAAGCGTGAGGACGCGTCTGAAGATGTTCACATTTCTTTACTCCACGAAGCGGGACCGCTCCCTGGTCAGTTCCTTGCAAATTTTTTAACGTAGCCCGGTTCTTCCCGCATTCATCTCCATGCATCGGTTTGTTTTTGCTGTCAATGCTCTATGCTATGGTCGCTAGGGAACAATCTCCCTGGTGATCTGTATTCGCCGTGGCGATGTGCGATCCGGGGGAGAACGTCCACCCCTCTGCGATCGCGTGGCCGCGGGCTGGCGGTCCCGCCTGCCGGCGCCCGCGCCCCCGGCCTCAGCCAATCGATGCTCGACACGGCTGGCGTCGCCTGGCGTCCAGACAGCGAAGCTGCTCGCCAGTGACGTCACGTCGCCGCTTCTCGGCGTCCGCCGGCCCCTCCCACGGCTCCCCCCAGTTCCCGAACCGAACTCCGGTGGGTAGGGCGGTGGGTGGAGGGGTCCGCCACTGAGGGGTGGGTTTCGCGCTGAGGTGGGTAGCGCGGTGGGTGGAGGGGTCCGCCGCTGAGGGGTGGGGCTCGCGCTGAGGTGGGTAGCGCGGTGGGTGGAGGGGTCCGCCACTGAGGGGTGCGGCTCGCGCTGAGGTGCGCCGCGCGCGTGGGACGGCGCCGCCTTGCTGCGGTGTCGCGTGCCGGAGGGCGGCCGGCCTCTGCCGTCCGCCGTCCCCGGGCCGCTTCTCGCTGTGAGGGCGTTGTTCGGAGATTCCGGCGCCCAGTCCGGCCCCGCGGCGATTACCGTGGAGCGGACGTCGTAACCTGCGGTCGTGTATGCTGCCGCGGTCACGGCGCGAGCACTGGCCGTGCGGTGTGTGGTGTAGAACTCCCCTTCCCCTCCCCCCGTTGCTGGTGTGCGTGCGCCGCGTGCTCGGCCGTCGCCTCATGCCGCACCTCCTCCGCCAGCCTCAGTGCACCAGCCGAGGGCAGCATCACCATGGTTGATGACGCCACCATGCGGAAGCTGGAAGCCGGCTTCAAGAAGCTGCAGGACGCCACCGACTGCAAGTCGCTGGTGAAGAAGTACCTCACCAAGGAGGTCTTCGACAGCCTGAAGAACAAGAAGACGTCGTTCGGCTCGACTCTTCTGGACGTCATCCAGTCGGGTGAGTGGTGGTCGGGGGCCGGCTTGGGGGGACCGGGCCGCCCCGGCTCGCTCCGCTGGCGTCCCTTTCAGCGTGAATCAGGCCCCCTCGCACGGCCTTCAACTCAAGCGGATGGCATTTTTCCGGCCTGGTTCTGGGAAGGGGCTGCGGAGAGCTAATCTCGTCACGGCAGTTCACGTTTGCTGGCGTTCCTGTGACTGATTCCGGTTCAGTGGAACCGATTCCGCCGCTGACCGGCTGTGCCGGTGTGGGTCCCGAGGCCGTCTCTGACTTGCAAAACAGAGCAGCGTTGGGCCGGCCCGGGTTCTGACTCGAGGGTTCCTAGCCCGTCACCGACCTGCAGAACAGAGCAGCGTCGAGCCGGCCCGGGTTCTGACTCGAGGGTTCCTAGCCCGTCACCGACCTGCAGAACAGAGCAGCGTCGAGCCGGCCCGGGTTCTGACTCGAGGGTTCCTAGCCCGTCACCGACCTGCAGAACAGAGCAGCGTTGAGCCGGCCGGGGTTCTGACTCGAGGGTTCCGAGCCTGTCTCTGACCTGCAGAACAGAGCAGCGTTGGGCCGGCCCGGGCTCCGACTCGAGGAAGCATGGACACATGTCCCGATCAGTTGCTGTGGGGTCCATTGCGGTTGTATTAGATACAAGCAAATAGACAGATATAATAGACAGGGGTGCCCTTTGGACGGGGGTGTGCAAGGAGGTTATACAAGACAATATTTGTTAAGGGCTTTCCTGTGGTGGCTGTGTTTGACTTCGTGCACAAATAGAGCCTGCTGCTAAAAGCCTTCTCAGTTACGTTGCTCCTGACGTCTGCATTCGAATCACTCACCTCGCTTTGCTGTGTCGCCTTACACATACCCAAAGGGATCTACTTCACCCAGACTCAATGGCAGTGCGGTGGACTTCAGAATGCAATGCGGGTTCCGGCGGGAGTCCTGCACAGACCCACGCGCAGGCACAGAACTCGTGCACAGGCCCACGCGCAGGCACAGAACTCCTGCACAGAACCACGCGCAGGCACAGAACTCGTGCACAGGCCCACGTCGCAGGCACAGAACTCCTGCACAAGAACCACGCGCAGGCACAAGAACCTCGTGCACAGGCCCACGCGCAGGACAGAAACTCCTGCACAGAACCACGCGCAGGCACAGAACTCGTAAGGTATCTGACCCGCCCGCGTTGGCCCACATCCAGTCAGACCCGCACCTCGCTGGCCGTGAGTGGGCCTTCCCAGGTTCCCGCGTGTTGTCTGGCGGAGGGAGTCCCTGCCGGGACCCATGTGGGGAGGGGGATGTAGATACCAGGCGCCATTTGAACCCTCATAACGTTATTCCTTGTCTCTCCCCGGACGCCCCCTGTGCCGCACTGTAGTCAACGGAGTAAATTGGGCTGTTTGACGTTTTTGGTTCGTGATTTTCCAAGGATTTTTTCCAAGGAAATTTTCCATTGTTTCGTGATTTTCCATTTTCGTCACTCAAGGCCGGACATATCCGAAGGGAGCATTGCTGCTGTGCGCCCCCCCCCCCCGCACATACACTTCCATATGCGTATCCGGATTTTGCAACGGATTTATGTAACCCGTATGCTGCACAATCTGGCACGAGGCACCGGTGGTATTCGTTGGGCCAGGCCAGTCCTCATGGCCCATGTCATCATTTCCTGCGTTGCGTCAGCCGACGCCGGTCTGTTCAGCGTCACGCCCTCTAGTGACGCGTCACCTAGCACCTGCCGTACCGCCAGGCAGGGTACCGTACGACGCCCTGGCGGGGGCTGCCACCCGGCCGGCGCGCAGGCGGGCCCCGCCCGAGTCGGTCCTGTCGGCCGATCGTGACGCCGTGGCGTGGCGCTGGGTCGGCAGGCGCGCAGGGGCTCACTTGGGCGCGTCACCGGGCCGCGCAGAGCCGTGTCGGCGCCCTCGGTGGGGCGTGACGTCACGGGACGGGACGGTGCGCGGCGTCCCTGGTCGGGGTGAGGGCGTAAGCGTACCGCAGGCGGTAAGGGCAGTCGGCGCGCCCTGGGGTTCAAATCATCGTCGCCGTCGCGTGTTCAGGGGTGGAGGATGCTCTATGCCAGGGGTGGCGGTGGCCACCCCCTGTCGCCAAGACCGGTACAATTGCAGCAGTTTGCCAGTGAAGGGGTGATCGTCCGGCCGCTCTACCAGCCAGCTTTGGATTACGTTCCCGGGCCGGCGAGCCCTCCTCCGCCCCGCCCCTGGGCAGCCGACCCTTGCCGTTGTTCCGCCCGGGTGCGTTTGAGTGATGACTTCTCTGTGTCCTGCCATGATGGATGACCGCCGCCAGACACCGGGCACGCGAGGGGCTCGCAGACTGCGTGACGGTCGGGGGGCCGGGGGCCGACATCTTGCGGGGATCCGCCGACACCAGACTACAGGGTCGTTCAACGTGAGAAGGTGCTCTGTGCTGTCGGGACCCAAGCTTGAAATGAGCAAAATGCAACGCTCTGGAACTCCGATTGAGGAAGGAAGACTAGCCACGCATCCTAACTTGAGACAGTGATGTGCCGTCTGGACCTCGACGGCTAGATGGATCCCACTGTTGCGACCTTGCAGGTAGTGGCCTCTAACAGACACCAAAGGCGTTAATTTAATTAAAATATGTACGTGATGCATGCGAGACAGATTTTCTTGGCCGGCTCAAAGCAAAACCATGCGTGTCAACCATCCGACCTTTAAGACCAAGTCTTCCTATCGTCCTCAGAACCTTGAACATTTCCCAAAGTCTTGCCATGAGAGAAAGTGGTCCAAATTTTAGCGGAAACATTTCCCAAAGTCTTGCCATGAGAGAAAGTGGTCCAAATTTTAGCGAACGAACCTATTTCACGTCATCTCAGCGGTCAGAGGGCGGTTATCAGAGGCGCCCCCCCCCCGCTCGCCGCGGTGCTCCGCGCGGCGCAACTGGAGCGGTCTTGGCCAGCTGGCACCCGGCAGGCCGGCCGGCGGGTTGAGAGACGCGCCGGCCGAGCCCCGGCGTGGAGCGTGTCCGCTGACCACGTGGTGCGCCGGCCGGCCCGGCGGCGGAGAGCATGACTCACCGGCCGCCGGACCGGGCCGGCGGCGGGGAGGGGACGGGGGCCGGCGCAGGGGGTGAACAAACTCGCGTCCGGGGCGGGGCAGCTGCCGCCGCCGCCGCCGCCGCCGCCGGCCCGCAGCCGCCGGCGGCGGCCGGCCTGTCTGGCGCGCCGCGGCCGGCCCCCCGCGCCGCACACCCGGCCCCCGGCGGTCGGTGACGGCGGGCGGCGTGCGCGCCCCGCTCGGCCGCTCCCTGGCGGGACACGCCCCCTGCACTGGCCCAGGCCGGCACACAGCGCGGCGCCGCCTGGCGACAGGCGCGGAGCCGTGTCGCGGCCACTGCCGCCGCTGGCCGGCCCGCCCGCTCCCACGCCGCCGGAGGTCCGCAGCCGGCCGCCGCGGCGCGGGTGACAGCGGCGGGAACGGGACCTGGACACCGCGGCCGCCGCCGCCGCCGTCGGTCTGCGGGCGCCGTTGCTGGGCCAGAAGTGATCGACCCGACGACCCCGGCCGTCCCCTGACCGTCCCTGGCCGCCCCTGGCTGTCCCTGACCGTCCCTGGCTGTCCCTGACCGTCTCTGGCTGTCCCTGACCGTCCCTGACCGTCCCTCGCCTGGAGGACTTCGCTGCTGGCCTGGAGAGAGCCGGGCTGCCGTGAGCTGTGACGTCGGTCATGAGGACCCGATTACGGGGTGTGGCGGCAGGACCCACGCGAGCCCCCCCCAGTGGCGGAAATTGGAATGGAAGCGCGCGTGTCCAGTCGCACGACGAACGCACCTGCCGGCCATTTCGGAGGCGGTCGAGGCCCTCGGGCCGGACTTGGCCAACGTCGGCATCGACACGCCACCTGAGGTACGCACGCGGGGACGCTGCGTAGGGCGGACTGAGAGGCTGGATGCGGGGAAACGCCGGCGCGTGTGCGGGCGGCAGTTTGCCCGCGTCACCGGCCCCGCTGCTTGCTGGCGGTCCGAGAGCGGGCAAATAAACCGAGCGGGGCGAGGTGTGCGCGGCCCGCACGCCACGCTGCTGCCCGGGCAGTCGTGGCATTGGCCGAGATGGCTGGGATGGCTGGCGCGTTACCTGCGCGTTGACGGGTGGTGCCGCAGTTAGCGACGACTAATCGCGGCGTATTGGTATGTCGCGCCTCTGCTGTGGCTTCTTCGGCGTCATGTTGTGACTGTTTTGGCAAGTGTACTGCGCAGGCATGCGTTTGCGAAGGCGAATTTGGCTGCCGGTCTTGTCATTAGAAAAGGGAAACAGTCACACGGCGCATTGGTAAAAGACCCTGAGGGTTTTGGGGACACGTGGGATATGGGCGTGGACATGGATATGGGATATGGATATGAGCACATACGCGCGCGTAGGATATGAAATCCTTTGGGATGTGAGGTCCCAATTTTCGGTGGTTATGAGCTTAGCATTATCATGTCTGCGACGTGACAGCACATGGTGACCGACATGCATCCCAGCTGAAAAACTAGGGTTTTTGCGAACGCGTTCAGACGCGTCACAAAGCTAAAGAGGCGCTTCCATGAGCGCACTTGCCTCCGACTGCGCCATGTCTACGTTTCGCGTTCCCACGTCACACCCCCCCCCCCCCTCCCGCCGTCTGGCTCCTCATTTGTGAACAAAAACAGTTCCGCATTTGCTGCGTGGCGTCGTCTGTCTGGGTTCCCCGCCGCCACCCCTCTTCCTCGCCAGCGATGACGGCCGCTCGCGCCGCCTCGCCGCGGACCGCATCAAGCGCGGTCCGGGCCGTCTCCCAGCGGGAGATCTGTCCAACGCTCCGCCGCCTGCCCGCCGCGGAGGCGTAACCCTCCGGGCCGGATTTCTGGCGGCGCCGCTGGCCGGCCCCCGGGCGCTCCCCCGTCGGCGGCGTTTTTGTGGAACCGTGCGCTCCGCCATCGACTTTCAAATCAGGGGAGCGGCTGACGCGCGGGGGGAAGGAAGCCGCGTGGCAACAGCGGAGCCCCGGCGCCGGCGTCGGTCCGCTGACGCCTGCTGGGGCTGCCGCGCGCTTCCAATCGGCGCTTTGCTTTGGCGCTGCGGGCGACGGCGATCCATCAGCGCCGCTCCGAGGCCTCTCGAGGACGGGATGCCCGTGGCCGACGTGCGGGGCGTGACCCGTTCGCCGAGCGCCGGACGCAGACGGCGCTGTCTGGCGCGCAAGGCCGCCGCCGCCGCCGCCGCCGGAGCGTCGGCCGGCCGAGCAGAGGTTGCGGCCGGTGACCTTGGCTTGGGCCGGGCCGGTATCGATCAGGGCAGCTCGGGTGCGTGCCGGCGGCCCGGCCGGCCGCGGTCTGCGAGCGGCGCGGTGCTCTGGGTCCATCCGTGTGGCAGCGCTCGAGCTGCCGCGGCAGGACACGACCGAGCGGCGCTGCCGACTCGACGCGCTGGCTATGATCAGTGGGAAATGGCCAGCGGGCCCACGTGGAAACGCAGATTATCGGGGAGACAGCAGACAGTCAGACAGCAGACAGTCTTAGCGGCTGCTCTAGATCGGTTATATGACATTGCCTTAAAACCGTCATAAGTCGACTTAAAACCGTCATAAGTCCGACAGCTACGGCCGGCGGCGTAGCTGTCGGAGACCAGACCGAGACCCGTAACGTTTTTCAAAACTCGCGTGAGCAACATCGCCAGCTCCGGCCGGTTTTCCGACTGTCCGCCGACCACATCCAGCTGCAGACTCCAACACCGCCGTCAGCTGCAAAGCCCGAAGCCACGATTTAACCGAGCCGCAAGCGAATTCCGTTCTCCCCTCGAGGAGAAGTGGGCGCGCCGTCGTCCGTTTAACGGCGAGGCGGCCCTGGCGCGGCGGCGGCGGCGGCGGCCGACTCGCCACCGCCGCCTGCTCGGCACGCGCACCGGACGCCGGCCGGTGGTACGCTGGGCATGGCCGCCGATGGTGCGATACGATTGTTCAGTAGACACCGGTCGATGGCCGCCGATGGCCCACCGGTATCGAACAACAGCAGCCAGCTCTGAACAATAACAGCCAGTGTGGAAGAACGGCAGCCAGTATTGAACAGCAGCCAAGGCCGCCGCTGATGTTGAACAACAGCGGAAGTAGTCAGCACTGATTTGCAGCAGCCGGTTTTGAACAACGGCCGTAGCATTGACCAGAAGTAGCATCGGGTGGAAAATTGTGTCGGATTTGAGGTGGCCGTGCCCTTCCGCATTCATCGCAGTGCGATGCCTTCCTGTGGCTGAAGACAATGTAACAGGTGAAGTTTTTTGCAGTCCAGGCTAGTTCAACTGAAATCGATATATCCCAGTGCACTGCCTCAATGATTTTGTTTAAATCACTGAAAAGCACGCATTTTTCATGATTTCCCCTACATCCGCGCTTCTCGCAGTGCGTTTGGAGCGCGGTGGGTGGCGGTGGCCCGCTGTGCCGGGCTCGAGTCGGGCGCGTCGACCGCGGGGCGTCCGCACCGGCACCGGGGACGGGCGTGGCGGCCGGCCGACCGCCGCCCGTCTCGTGACTCCGGTGTCCCGTGACGGCGACCGCTGCCGTCCGGGCTGCCAGATCCGCCGCGTGCCCGGGCTGCCAGATCCGCCGCGTGTCTCGCCGCCTGACCGTACCCAGCGCTACCAGATGGAGCGCGTGATTGCGGAGGGTGGCCGCCCGGCGCCGGCGGGGGCGCCGGGTCCTCGCTCAGGCCAGACAGAGCGCAAAAACGGGCCGCCCCACCGCGGCCGGGGCGATTGGCGTCGCCACTTGACGTGGTCGTATCGCGAACCGGGGCGTGGCCGGCGCGACTCCGGTGGGCGCGGGATGCGGCCGTTTGTTTTGCGATTGGGACACTTAACGTTCGTACGTGAAGTGGGCACACAGTGAGAGAGCCCTCCTTTGAATTAGTTATATAATGTAGTTGGCCTTAAAGAAGCAGTGCGAATTATGGACTGGTAAATTAATTCGCGTATGACCGAATGAAAACGAATGAAACGATGCATAAGTACACTGCTTTCGATAGTCATTTTTGAAGGTGTTTTTTTTCCAAACCTCGTGTAGTTGAAGTAGCTGACCTCTTCGATGTGCATGGGGCCATGAAGTATTTCAATTAATGTTCCTTATTGCTTTATTCCACAAGAAGTGTGCGCTAAGATCCGCGCAGACATACTCTCAACTGCGCGGTAACCACTGGCACGAAGAGCCTTGCTGAGCCGGTGCGGCTCACCAGCCTCATGATACGCCGTCTGACGCCGTGTCCTCGTCTGTCCCGGCAGGCGTGGAGAACCTGGACTCGGGCGTCGGCGTGTACGCGCCGGACGCCGAGGCGTACACCGTGTTCGCCGACCTCTTCGACCCCATCATCGAGGACTACCACGGCGGCTTCAAGAAGACCGACAAGCACCCGGCCAAGGTCAGCTGACGCGGTGACCTGGCGGTGGAGGCTTCTGCCGGGGTCGGTCGGTCGGTCGGTCGGTCGGTCCGCGGAGGCGAAGGCGCGGCTGTTGGAGTTTCTCCAGCCCGAGTGTCAGCCGCAGCCGCGTCGGTGGACGCTGGGCCTGCACGACTGTGGCATGCGGCAGGTCATTGCTTGTCAGGGACTTCACCCTATTAGGACGTGCGTTCAGCCGGTGTAAGGCTAGGACGAGTTGGTTGTGTTGTGGCATGTGCGTTGAACGGGTGTGATGGTTGTAGTTGGTTTGCCTCCCAGCTGTTGCGCGTGCCCTCCTTGGTGACTGGTGCGCACGTGGCGCCGTGAAGACATTTGTGTGGGAGCCCGGCTGGCGCGGGCGCGCCCGGCCACGTGCTGCTCGTCCCGACGGACCTAGCGTCCCCCCCCCCACCCCCACCCCCACCCCATCCGACGCCGCGCTCCTCCTCGCGTGACGACCCGCCGGCTGACGTGGCCGCCGCTGTTGCAGGACTTTGGCGACGTCAACAAGGTTGGCAACGTGGACCCGGAGGGCGAGTACGTCATCTCGACCCGCGTGCGCTGCGGCCGCTCCATGCAGGGGTACCCCTTCAACCCGTGCCTGACCGAGGCCCAGTACAAGGAGATGCAGGACAAGGTGTCCGGCACGCTCAACAACATGGAAGGCGAGCTCAAGGGCAAGTACTACCCGCTGGCCGGCATGACGAAGGACGTGCAGCAGAAGCTGATCGATGACCACTTCCTCTTCAAGGAGGGCGATCGCTTCCTGCAGGCGGCCAACGCCTGCCGTTTCTGGCCCACCGGCCGCGGCATCTACCACAACGACAACAAGACCTTCCTGGTCTGGTGCAACGAGGAGGACCACCTGCGCATCATCTCGATGCAGAAGGGCGGCGACCTGGGCCAGGTGTACCGCCGCCTCGTCACTGCCGCCAACGACATCGAGAAGCGCGTGCCGTTCTCGCACCACGACCGCCTTGGCTTCCTGACCTTCTGCCCGACCAACCTGGGCACCACCATCCGCGCCTCGGTGCACATCAAGGTGCCGAAGCTGGCGGCCGACAAGGCCAAGCTGGAGGAGGTGGCGGCCAAGTACAACCTGCAGGTGCGCGGCACGCGCGGCGAGCACACTGAGGCCGAGGGCGGCGTGTACGACATCTCCAACAAGCGGCGCATGGGCCTGACCGAGTACGAGGCCGTCAAGGAAATGCACGACGGCATCCTTGAGCTGATCAAGATCGAGAAGTCGCTGTAGGCGGCCGACCGCGCACCGGCCGGAGAGAGGGAGAGTCAAGAGAGAGAGAGAGGGGGCGCGCGCCGCCCGACCGCTCGCGGTCGGGCGCGCCGTCCCGTGCCGGGTCGCAGCCGCCGGGCCGAGCTCGGCGGGCGGCGGGCGCTGCGCGAATCCAGGCGTGGATCGCAGCCCGCCGCCGCCGCCATTGCTGTGAACGTGTGGAGTGGCGCGGCTGGCCAATAAAATTTGATCGTCCAGCGGTGCGTGTCGATCGGGGCGGCGCTCGGCTGGGGCGACCGCCGCGAGCGCTGCCGTCGCCTTGTGCCCTTTCTGGTTGGTAGGGAGAGGCGACAGCTGTCTACCGATCAGCTGTCGGGCACGGACGCTCTGGACGCAGGGAACGGGACAGACAGCCGAATAATGGAAAACACGCCGAGGTGCAGGCGACACACGTCAGGTCGCGGGCCACGGGACACTAGACGGGGGCGAATGGGACCATGCGACGCGCAAGGGACAGAATGCCACTGTGGGCCGGGAGCTAGGAGACGGGAGCGGGGAGCGGGGATTGGGTCTGAACTCCCGGGGACCAGAGGCGAGGGCCGACGGAAGCCGGTAACCGGGCGAAAGTCTGGGTTGGATGGTCGCTGCCATGCCTGTGGCCCCCCACATGGAAATGGGGAAGGGAAAAGATGAGGAATGGGGTAGGGGGGGGGAGGAAGTCGTGCTTTGCGCTGAGCTTTGACACTGCCTGACATTTTTGGCAGAGAGGATGTGAAAAGCGTTTATTTTGCGACCGAAGTAAAGGCAGAAAGCGTCCATTCAAGCCAAATTGGGAAGGCAGTATGTTCCCGAAGTCACGCCGGTGGTTACATCGCAGTCGCAGCGCCCCTGGTGGCGGCGAGGTGATTTGGGTCACCCGCCCGAGGAGCTTGAGTAGCATTGACGACTCAAACTACTCACCTGAGTAGTTTGAGTCGGGTCACTCGCCTTAGGAGTTTGAGTCTGATCACCTTCCCTAGGAGTTTGAGCCGGCTCACTTGTCTGAGGAGTTGGAGTCTGGCCGCCCTCCTCAGGAGTTTGAGTCGGGTCACACGCCAGCGGACGCCGCTCACCTCCTGCAGCCGGTCGGCGCCCTCCTCCCGCCCGCCACCGGCCCCCCGCCGAGCTCTCTCCCGATCGGTGGTGCCACGCCGAGCCGGGCGTTCACGACAAGCGGCCGGTGGAAGCCGGCCGGGTGGGACCCCTGACCGGCCTCGGCCCCGCGAGGCGACCGGCCGGCCGCGAAACCTGCTCGGCGCTGGTGATCAAGCACTGATCGCAGATGACAGCGGGTTCTGACGTGTGAATGGTCGTGGTGGGGATTTTTTACAAATTGTGTTAATTTATTGGCAAATTTATTAAATTACATTACCTTTTCGATTGTCTCGTGCCGGGGTTTGCGTCACTTTCAGCCCGACCAGGTTCGGCCGCCATTTTGGCGTTTCGCCGACAAGACCTCCCCTTTGTCGGCTCTGTCTTCCGTTTACCCGCGTCAGCACATCACCCGGGACAAGAGCGACAATTAGGGTTTGCTGACTTCGCCAATTAAGTCAGAGGGGAGTGTGAAATTATCCGCAGATGTTTGATGAAGGTGAAAAGAGCACGGGATGCTCGCCCACCCAGGCGCATTTGAAGCAAATGACGTTTTCCCGCTAGAAGCCCGAACGCCTCGAAGTGTCTTCAATTACATCGAGACACCGAGAAACGCGGAGCCGGGAAGCATGCCGCTCCCTCTGTCGGCGAGCTGTAGTTGCAGCAGCCAACTGCATGCATCGCGGTGTTTACCTCAGTCGGTACCATGTCAACACTGCCTGATCGCGCAGACGGTAACCGGAGGGTGCACGAGTGTATGGGACCGACGCCTCTCCGAGTGGGGGACGTCGGCAACCCGACTGTGAGAGGAGGGACGGTGCTGTGACTCGGTCTGTGAGGAGGGACAGCACTCGTGACTTGGTCTGTGAGGAGGGGCGGCGCTCGTGACTTGGTCTGTGAGGAGGGACAGTACTCGTGACTTGGTCTGTGAGGAGGGGCGGCGCTCGTGACTTGGTCTCTGAGGATGGACAGCGCTCGTGACTTGGTCTTTGGGGAGGAACAGTTCTCGTGACTTGGTCTGTGAGGAGGGACGGCGCTCGTGACTTGGTCTGTGAGGAGGGACAGCACTCGTGACTTGGTCTGTGAGGAGGGGCGGCGCTCGTGACTTGGTCTGTGAGGAGGGACAGTACTCGTGACTTGGTCTGTGAGGGGGGGCGGCGCTCGTGACTTGGTCTGTGAGGAGGGACAGTACTCGTGACTTGGTCTGTGAGGAGGGACAGCGCTCGTGACTTGGTCTGTGAGGAGGGACAGCGCTCGTGACTTGGTCTGTGAGGAGGGACAATACTCGTGACTTGGTCTGTGAGGAGGGACAGCACTCGTGACTTGGTCTGTGAGGAGGGACAGCGCTCGTGACTTGGTCTGTGAGGAGGGACAATACTCGTGACTTGGTCTGTGAGGAGGAACAGTTCTCGTGACTTGGTCTGTGAGGAGGGACAGCGCTCGTGACTTGGTCTGTGAGGAGGGACAATACTCGTGACTTGGTCTGTGAGGAGGGACAGTACTCGTGACTTGGTCTGTGAGGAGGGACAGCACTCGTGACTTGGTCTGTGAGGAGGGACGGCGCTCGTGACTTGGTCTGTGAGGAGGGACAGCACTCGTGACTTGGTCTGTGAGGAGGGACAGCACTCGTGACTTGGTCTGTGAGAAAAAGGGACGGTGCTGTGACTCGGCCAGACGGCGGACGGCGCGCACGGCCCGGTCCGAGGCGGGGTAACCTCATGGCTTCATTACAGGAGGCACAGAGCCCATGGGTTGACTGTCAAGGGGTAAATAGCTTGTTTTGACTCTGATCGACAGAGCCCGTGACTTGGCTGCGGGAATGAACAGAGGACGGCTTGACTGGGAAGGGACAGACAGTGGCCTTGCTGAGTGGAACGGATTCACAGACTCTACCGAGTGATGGAAGGAACTCGCGCCCTGGCCGTGAGTGACGAAAGCTCGTGATTTTCATTTGCAACTCCGGCCGTGAGGAGTGGAGCCAGGGACGTGCGAACTGGACTGTGAAGGGGGTCAGGGATGTTAGCTGGAACCATGAAAGTAAAGAAGCATGATTTAATATGTGAGGACAGAATTCGTGACCTCAACGCCAGAAGGGTGGGCACGTGAGGTGAGCATGTCAGAAGGGTGAGCACGCGTTACGCACTGCACAACACAGCACGCGTTACGAACTGTGAGAAAAGCTCGCAATTTGGGTTGTGGAAATGAAGAACGGGGCTTGCGAATTAAACCGTGAAAATGGTGCACTCGTGACTTTCGCTGCGGGCAGCGAGCGCGTTCGTGACCGGGGCTGAGGCGATGCGCGGGCATCGATCCCTCGAACCCACGACATAACGACTGGACACGTGACAGGGCACGTGACGAGCGGGTGCAGTCAGCGGTTTACACTGCAAGAGGTGACCGCTGCACTCGTGACTCTAGCCGTGACTTGCTGTCGCCCGTTGGCTGCTCAGGTGACCTTGGCTGCCACATACGGCGCCAGACGCGAACACGGCTATACGGCGAACCGAGGGAGACGCCGTCTTTGTCCTTGAGCAGACTGCACGCGACCCCGCTGCACGTGAACACGTTTGAAATAGCCTCATCAGCCGATAAATTAGTTCGTTGTAAATGGTAACAAAAAGGAACGGAATACGACAGGCAAAGCAAGGGTATGTATGTAAATCACTAAGGGAGTCCTTTTCACAGCAAGGACGGGGCAGAAATTTATCACGTCAATATGCAGTATGTTCGCTCATTGACACATGCCGATTTTGTGCCCACTGGTGTCGCGTCTCCACGGCGAGTAGCAGGGGGCGGCGACGTACAACCGTGCGCTGGACGCCAGTACCAGTACCTCACATCCACAAATCGGCACACGGCTCAGTACCAGTCGCTACGGGGCCATCGATCAGCCGTTGCGCGGTCAGACCCATTCGCTACCGACTGCTTTATCGACTAGGCTTCCCAGACTGTGTGGGAATGGCGGACCTAGCGCGAAGAACGTTCGCATTACGTCCGTGTGACGTCATAACTCTGTCGTCCCCATTACAGGACCCTGCTGCCGTGTCATTCAGATATCGCATCTCACCATCCTTCGCTATCCCGGGTCCATCACAGTCCTTAGCTGATCCGAGCGGACGCGCCCCAGCCCAACCAGACCGTGACCGCTAGCCGCCGAAGCAAGTGCCAGAAATCCGCAGCAATCTGCGATTGGATGATAACTGCGTGATGTCCTGGTTTGACCGGAACCGAGTTGCGTTCGCCTCCTCCGCCCGCCGAGCCGCCTGTACCGCGTGCCGATCCAGCAGCGCCGACACGGCGGGGCAGCGGCCCGCCCCATCCCTCACAGACAGGCCACGCTCTCCGCGCACTCTCGCCGCGGCTCTGTATTGGATCGTGGGCGACGCCGTCACAGGCACACACAGGCGCACGCACGCGAACACAGTACACAGTATCACAGTGAGCCAGGTGGCGCTGGCGTCGGCGTCCGTGCAGCCGTCGCCGCCGGCGGCGCCGGCCCGGCACGGCGCCGGGCCGGCCGCCGACGGGGCCGCCTCATCGCGCCTCGTGCCCACCACAGCCGCGCGAGTCCAGCAGCGGCACCGGACCCGACCCGGGATCAGGGCGTCCTCGTCCGCCCCGCCACCGCCCCGCTCCGTCCGAGAAGAGCACGCCGACGCGTGCCGCTAGGAGCCGGGCGGGCCGGCGGCGGCCGGCGGCGGGCGCCGGTCCGGCTCGCGCCGGTAGTCGCGCTCCTTCCAGCGTTCGTCGCCGTAGTGGCGGCCGTGCGCGCCGTAGCCGCCGTAGCCGCGGTCGTAGCCGGCCGACGGGCGGCCGTGGTGCCAGGGCGGCGCCCGGTAGCCGCCGCCCGCCGCGTGGTGCGACGAATAGCTGTCTGGCCGGTGGTCCCGCTCGCGGTCACGGTCGCGGTCCCGGTCCCGGTCCCGGTCCCGTGACCTGGTCGGGCGGCGGAAGGTCAGCAAGGCACGTGACGGAGTGGTGCTGGTGATGCGCCACACCACCGCACCACACTGGCACCACCCATTTACTGCTGGATACACTGGTGACACCGCCTCAGTTGATGGTTCACACCACACAGGCAAGGCTGCACCTGAGCTTCAGTGGGCGGCTAACCCTGACCAATGCTTTCTCAGCGTTGACAGGAAACACGTTATCACACAACAGGATGTCACCCTCAAATACATCTCTGGATATCAGCTTCTGCACCAGTGTGCCAGCGAGGTCCGTCTCTTGGCCGTGGCTCATTCCTACGGTGCCGGCCAGTCCAGTCGCAAACCCAAGACGCACCGAGCTTTCGTCCCGTGACCCATAACCCCGCTTCGTCCCAGCTTGTCCTCCCCTACGCCGGCCTCACATCAAACCCCTTCCGCGAGTCGGCCTGCTCCGGCCGATGATCGGCGCTCCCAGCTCCCCCTCCCCGGACCGGCGCTCACCACGCTCCCCCGCCCCTCTTCTGGCGCCGGACGCTCCCCTCGCCGCTCACCTGTCGCGGGGGTGGCTGTAGCCGTCGCCGGGGTAGTGGTCCCGATGCGGGGCGCCGGCCGGGCTGCTGTGCCCCCCACCGCCGCCGCCGCCGCCGCCGCCGCCGCCGCCCGGGCCGTACTCGCGGCGCCAGTCGCGGCGAGGGTCCGACGAGGAGTGGCGCGGGTCGGACGACGAGTGGCGCGGGTCGGACGACGAGTGGCGCGGCCGGTCGTCGTTGTGGCGCCGGTCCCGCCGAGAGCTGCGGCGGCGCAGGGCGAGGAGGAGGGAGTCACGCGGCGACCATGACAGGACGGGAGCGCCGATCATCAGTCGGGACGCTTGGGCGCACGCGGGTCACCGGAGAGCCCCGTGAGCTTCGGGGTCACTGACACAGCTCAGACGCTCCCACACGCTCGGCTCTACGATCGCCCTCTCACACAAAATGACTTTCGCACGCTGTTATAGGTCATATTACAATATCAACAGCTCTTGACACTGGCCAGAGCAGTCTTTGAGCATCTGAATCTGGCCCAGCCTCTCGTCGTGATCGGACATGATCGCTGCTCAGTCTGTCCCCTGCGCTGACTCCCGGACCACGGCGTCGAGCCACTGCTGGCGTCTCCGCGCCGACCGAACGTCATCGACGTCTTCCCCGTCCCCTCGCCTTACGCCACCGCCCCAATCGGCTTCGTCATCGTCGTCGTCATCGTCACCACTGAGACTTAACGACGCACAACTTCCCAAAACTACCATAGCACAGCAGACCTCCCGCGCCTCCTCCCAGCCCCCGGCGCCAGCCGGCCCTCTGACCTCTCCAGCACCGCTCACCTGGCGTCGCGGTCATCTTCGTCGCCGTGCCGTTGCGCCGGGTGCGTGCCGGCAGCGGCAGCGGCGGCGGCGGCGGCGGCGGCGGCGGGTGGCTCTGCCGTCTCCGGTCGGCGACGCTCCTGACTGGCGCGGTGTCCACCGACCGGCGCCGCCTCGGTCGACCGCCGGCCCGGCTCCGGCGTGCTGCGCCGCCGCTTCTTCGGCTCGTGCGGCGGTCGCTCCTTGTCCCGGCTGTCCGGCTGTCAGACAGTTTCAGACAGTGTCAGATAGCGTCTGACAAATATACAGAGTCAGGAAGTGTGAAACAGTGTCAGACAGCATCAAACGTCACACAGCGCCAGACAGTGTCAGACAGTGTCAGACAGCGCCAGATAGCGTCCGACAAATATACGGTCAGGGAGGGTGAAACAGCGTCAGACAGCATCAAACGTCACACAGTGCCAGACAGCGCCAGACAGCGTCAGGCAGTGTCAGACAGTGTCACACTGTCCGGCTGCCGGCGGGTCTGGCGGCGTCAGACGGCGGAGAGAGAAGGGTGAGCCCAGGTCCCGCGGCCTCACCGTGACACCGACCGGCTCGCAGTGACACCGGTCCGCCGACCAGCAACGCGGGACAACCGCCGAGGCTCCGAGGCATCGCCGTCCCCTCCCCGGGATATTGAGCCAGCAAGCGACTATACATCGAACTTCCGGTTTGACTTCACAACACTGAGACAACGCGTGGCCGAAACACCCACTACAGCTCACAGCCAAAAGTCGTAACAGTGTACGAAAACAGCGCGTTACACGTCAGCTCCGTGTCACCCGTCGCTCTCTCATAGACACTCCGGGACACTCATAGACACTCTCTCTCCGGGCGCTGTCTCGCTCCCGAGCAGACCTCTGCCGCTCCGCCAGGCGCCGGGCCGTACCTTGTCGTTGTCGTGGGTGGGCGGAGGCGGAGGTGGTGCGGTGGCGGCGGCGGCAGCGGCGGCGGCGGCGCTGCCCTGCTTCTTGACGGCGTGCTTGTACAGCTTGTACAGCTTGCGCGGGTCGAACTCGGTGAACTTGGACACGAAGTACCAGAGGTTGCTGCGGCGGCAGGGAGCGAGCGGTCAGCTGTTGCGCGGGCGTTGCCAGGCAACATCATAGCAAACGCTGTCTTGTTCAAGCTCCTGGTGCTGACAGGCATGAGGAAAATTTAGAATGTGGACGTGGAGATCGCTCGACCAGCAGAGCCAAAGGTCGATCCGTGAGCGAGGCGAGTGAGGTGAAAACAAGGGGGGGGGGACGGGGGCCACACGGTCGTGATCGCATGTTGTCTCGCTCACGGCAGCGGAAACATGTCATGCCAGAGAAACTGGTTAGCGGGCTCGGCCAGCGGACAAGCCAGCCGCTACAGCTCAGATCTGGGCTGACGTGTGTGCTCGTACAGCCTGCCACCCCTCTGCCCCACTCCATTCCTCTCCACTCCACTCCACTCCACTCCACTCCACTCCACTCCACTCCACTCCATTCCACTCAACACAACGATCTGTACGAGCATTAGGTGCTCTCAAGCCGCCACACTGGTCCCCCCCCCCCCCCCTGTTTCCCTCAATAACTAGCCAGTCACAGCACGGCCCGGGACCGTGCTCTCGGACAGAGCAGGGCACCAGCGGATGCGCTCAGTTTCTTCACCGGAACAGCCGCGTACACAAGCGCGGGGCACATGCTCCCGGTGCCCGCCACAGCAGCTCGGAGGAGGCCGCGCCATCTCTAATGGCAGGGGGAACCTCAGGCAGGTGGCCCTCGGCGCCCGCCCGGCGCAGATGGCGCCACCGGTCCACCAACACCCCAGCCTGGCTGCATCGGACCATTCGCACGCCTCGCGGCTCAGACAACGGCCCATGTTTCAGCTGACATGCACCACTCCTCCGAACCCGCTGGCCTCCACGGTCAGCCATCCCATCCCGTCCCGAAAGACGCCGCGCGCAGCTCCCTGACACTGCGAGAACCTGCAAAGCTGTCAGAGAGATGCGGCCTGACCTCACATAATACGGAGCTGCCCCCCCCCCCCTCCCCTCCAACACACACCTAAAGCTACACCTACACCCACACCCACACCCACGCTCACGCTCACGCTCACGCCCACGCCCACGCCCACGCCCACGCCCACACACAGGGTCGCACGCACTTGCGCCACTCCTTGATCTTCTCGGCCTGGTGGAACTGCTGCAGGCAGCGGTCGATGTGGGTGCCGATCTGGATGAGGCACTGTCGCGTATGGTTGACCTGCTCCAGGTCCGAAAGGCTGGGGTCCGGGCTGTCCAGCGCCTTCAGCGCTCGCTTCACCGGCCGCATCTTCTCCTTGCACTGCAGCGGACAACGCCACGGTGAGACGGGCAGGACCCAAACAGACGGGCGGAGTCGGTCGACCAGAGAAACAGTCTGAGTCAAGGAGAGGCAGTCAGCCAGCGATAGCACGACAGTGGCAACGGCGCGTGACGACAATACGAGAGCATAGGCAACGAGCAGTTCGAGAGGTGGCTAGAGTGACAGGAGGAACAAGTGGTTAGAGCCAGACCACGAGGACGGCAGCGAAAAGCGAGGGCAAGGGGGAACCAAGGAATAAGGAGTGCACGGACAACGATGGGGTGAAGGAAACCGGGTGACAGAGGACGGAGGCGGGCGCCAATTATTGCGTGCAGTCATTGTTGTTGTAGCACCTGTACGATTGCCAGCAGGCATCAACATTATTTCACGCCGCGTCTCCAGACCGTCAAATGATTTCTAAACGCCGCGACGCCCTCACTCACCAGCCATCATTAACACGACGCATTGACGAAGCACCACCGTGGACCTCTCACATTCCCCAGCAGACCGAGGCGGGGTCACAACAAAGCCGGCGTTCGGCGAGTCTCCGACACACGGACTTCAGGCCAGTGGGCCAGCGCTGTCCCCACCCACAGCGCCGCGTTACACCGGGAACGGCCAGTGCCGGGGACGGCAAGGGAAGGGGAGGGGAGGGGACGGGAGCGGTGACGACGCCGACAGCCCCAAAGCCCACCTGCGAGCCCGTCCCTCCCTCCCTCGACCTACTGCCATTTCGGATTATGCATTGGCACGTGCCGCCGCTAAGGTCACCAGCACGTCGCAATGACCGGCGCAAACCGGGGGCCAGAAGCGTCAGCTCGTGACGAGAAATGACGCCAGGTGTTCGGTTATCACCCCATCGCTTCAGCCTGTCACCCACTCCCTTCCGCCTCGGTCGGACGGGTGCACTGTGCATCCCTTGAGCTCATGATCGCCCCCAGGTGGACCGCAGACAGGTGGCGCGCCCAGAGACCACCCGCCGAGGAGAGTGACACCGCCGCTGAGGGGAGCGGCTGGGCGCAGCTGACTACAGCGCCCGCCCGCCGCCGTCGCACGAGTCGCCGGTTCGAGCCCGGCGACCGGCCGCGTATTTCGTCGTCTCCGGCGGCGAGCGGCGCCGAGGTGCTGACGTCCAAACAACAAACTCCGCGGCGTGAGTCAGCGATTTCGCAGACGGACCTGGCCGCCGAGGGTCAGGTGGTGTTGGCCACGCGTGCTGTGGGCCAGTCACATGCAGCCGACAGGCGGCGCGCGGGGCGCACCGTCACACCTGCGCCTCGGGGGGGGGGGGGGGGGGAGGGCGGCGCACACCTGCGCGGCTCACACCCCCGCCGGCATCCCCTCCCCTCCCGGGGGCCGCCGCACAGGACAGCGGCTGGCGACTCCAGTTCGGGCACGCCGCAGTCCTCCCGAGCATCTCGCCGGAATGCCTTCGAGCTCGCGAGCCGCGCCAAGCACGGCTCGCTCTCGGCGCCACGAGCCCGCCAGCAAGCAGGTATCCTCATGCCATCGGAGCATTCTGAGTCCGGTTCTTATCGCCGAACAGGACGGCAAACGGACCTTTCTCCGCCGTCCCATGCTGCGACATGACAATATGAACCAGGCACCACCTGTTTTGGTCCCCGCCCGCCTGATATGATGGGATAACACCATGTTCAGGGCGCCGCGTGCTGCACTCCCTCCGTAACGGACAGATAGCGTTGGAACCGTGCTTTGATCACGCTCGCTTGCAACCCGTTTAGACCGGGTCCATCCTGCAAACGTGCTCCAGCAGCACGCGATCACAACATTGTGTGTCAACACTGCATTGAAGCACATCGCAAAACGTGCCGTCATTTCACCGACGACAAAAACAGATCCATCTACTTAGCATTTCAGCATCGACCGAAACTCGCACGTGGCTTGGCGAACAGACCGCTCCGCGACCTGACCAGACACCAGACAAGCCCGCACAGTTTTCGGCTGGACCCCGCCGGCATGCGCCTTCCCCAGCCCCGCGCCGCGCGGACGGCTCGCGGCCGTCCGCCACGCCACCGCCGCCGTCCGGAGACTCACCTCCAGGAAGACGGACTCGGGCAGCTCCTCCGTGGAGCTGACCTGCACCGGCTCGTGGTTGGCCGTGAAGTGCATCGGCCCCAGCTGGGGTTTCTTCTTGCGCTTCTTGTCCTCCTTCTTGGCCGGCTCCTTGGCGTCCTTGGCGTCCTTCCCCTCCTTGGCGTCCTTGGCGTCCTTGCCGTCCTTGGCTGAGGCGGGCAGCGACGTCTGCGTGTTCTCGTCGGACGAGATGTCGTCGCCCTCGATAATCTCGCGGCTCACCGCCTTCTTGGAGCGCGCAGTGGTCGCCCTCTTCGGCTTCTTGGTGGCGGTCGCGGCGGTCTTGGCCGCGGCAGCGGAGGCTGCCGGCTGCTGCAGCTTCCTCACCACCTGGCAACGCACGGACGGGCTCAACACGTCGGCCACGGCGCGGACGGTCAGGCGGCGGACGAACCCGACAGATGGACACGACACGATAGCACGCACACACGCGCCCATCAGCAGTCATCATTACCAGGGGCACGCGGAACGGGCAAGCGTCAACAAGGTCATCCTGTGACAACGCTCGACAGTGAGTCAAACGCAACCTCCCCCCCCCATGAGGTGCTCCGGGAGGTGGAGCCTGCCATTTGCCACAGCCACCGCGCGCCGGCCGCCATCCCACCTTGAGGAGGTAGTCGGTGCGCGCCTGCAGGTGCTTGGCCTGCGGCTTAGACTCGGCCTGCTCCAGCAGGATCTTCTCCTCGAGCCGCAGGCCGGGGTCGATCTTGATGGACTCCCAGGCGCCGGTGCCGTACTCATAGACGCCCTGCAGCAGACGCGAGTCCTCCTCCAGGCCCCACTCGACGTCCCAGTGCGGGTCCTTGACCCTGTGGGCCCACGCCGCGCTCAGGTCAGCGCTGTCGCTCACTCACGCTCGACAACTAGGTCAGTATTGGTCGACAAGGCGGCAGACACGGCGGACACGATGGACCAGGGGACCGACGGACACGGCCACCAGAGGACCGGCGGACACTGGATAACCGACATGGGTGGTCTAGTCAGTGCTACTCACGCTAGGGAAGGAGACGGGGAGGATCACCGCTCCTTAACTTGGAGGACAAAGGGGGAGGGGGGTGGGGGTGGGGGGTGGGGAGAAATAAGGATCAGACCCACACACGGGAATGTGGACACTGGGTGAAGAGGCAGTATATTTTACATAGGGCGATGAACGATTTTGCCAATACATTATTATATAAATACACCCATAATATTAACCCACAAATAATATTGCTACATCCAAATTCAACATACGAATGACTTCCAATACTGACAGGGGTCACAGAAGGTTTGATCATTGTTCCCCACCCTGAAACGTGGTCTGTGTTCCTCACAGTGACCGGGGCGGCGGAGCACGGCGGACGGTCAAACTGGTCGGTGTTGTGAACACTGAAGAACACACAAGAACCCGACACTGAAGTGCAACCGTGCGAATCACAGGCACCTGTCGACGCGTCCTCCCACTGCCGGTGGGACCAGAGGCGGCGGTGGATAGCGACTCCACGTCTCCCCTCACCCGAGAGGTCGCGCACCACAACACGCTCGCGCCGCCGCCGAGCGCCGCGCGGATCCTACCGCAGCCGCACGTCACCGGCCGTCATCCAATCAATGGCGCACGCTCCCGCCAGCACCGCACGCACACGCTCCGGCGCGTCGGCGGCGACGCCCGAGCCCACTGCCCGGCCAACCGGCGGCAGAAACAAAAACGGCCGATCGATGCGGCGGCGCGACGCCCGAACTGCGTCACGCTGGCGACGGGCCCGCGGCGCCTCCCAGGTGACGGGCGGGCCGCCGCACCGGCGCGACGGCGGCGCTCGGGGCGGCGGCGCCGCGTGACAGCCGCCCGCCGCCGCGTCACACCCCCGCTGGCGGCAGGCGGCGGCGGCGGTGCGACGCGGCGGCGTCGCCAGCGATGCCGTGCTCCTGCTCGCGGCGACTTACGCCGGAGCCGTGTCGCGCACCGACGTGCCACCACGCAGGGACAGCACGGCAACGGCAGCCAACCGCGCCGCGTCGCCAAGGGCGTCGGCTGACATTCATCTTGACATTCATCATCATTCTTGACATTCATCTTCATCTTGACTTCGACATAATTCTTCTTCATCATGACATCATTCTTCTTCATCATTCTTCTTCACATTCATCTTCATCTTGACATTGACATCATTCTTGACATTCATCTTCATCTTGACATTCATCATCATTCATTCATCATTCATCTCCCCGCCCCACGCCGAGCGGGCGACGGGACGCCGAGCCGCCTGCAGCTCGTGGAGCGTGGGGACGGGAGACGCACGCTGCGGTCTAGGCCTGGCGCTGGAGCGGGCCGGCTCCCGGTAGCGGCACCCGGCGGTGACGGCGCCGGTGCGGGACCAGGCCGCCCCCCCCCCTTCCCCTCCCTCCCCCGGAGCTGACACCGCCAGTCCCCGGGCCAGCCGACGCCGCTGACCCGGATGGGGTGATGTTGCGCAACACGGGTAGGGGGACGGAACGGGGGAAAATGTCAGACGATGGAGCGCGTTCGCCGCCATCAGTGAATGCCGCATGATCCGCTTAATAATGCGGGAAATCAAACCTCGTGCGTCATGATGCCATTGTTGAAAGCTTGGGACGTTGGAGAGCGTCTTACTCATCGGAAGGCTATGCTGCTCTCTGACGCAGCTGCTCCTCAAAACAACGGCTGGTGACGTGACTCGGAAAATGGGAAACAGAAAGGCATCGATCTGCAGGAGATAACCATATTTATAATAATGCATCCGAATAAATCCGATTGCCCTCCAACTTTACGAGGAGCCGGGAGCAAAGCCGGTGCAAATAAATCCGATTACTCTGAGGCTGTGTCATACGTGGTCAGGGCGTCCAGCCGTTCAATTGGAGGGGGGGGGGGGGGGCACAAACTGGACCGGCTCGCAGACAGCGATACCCCAGCGACTGAAGCAGCATCTTGCCATGTCCCAGAACGGTCTGCGTCGTCGAAAAAACGACTAACTTACAATGGCGCTGCGGACTGTCACTCCCCAACTAGAAATGCATCACTGTCCTCAGTCCATCGACCAGCACGTTCTATTGGCCTATGCTAAGAAATTGAAGTCGGCGTTTTGAAGAGATGTTGGCAACAACACCAGAACGTTTTTTTTACAATGATGATGCGAGCATCGACATCAAGTTTGAGAATTAAGACAAAATATAGTTTTGCGCGCACGATTCTCCTTGGGGCGGCACTTGCCCAACTTGCACCACACGGGATCCGCTTACGGGGCAGATGTGGCGCTTCCCATCAAAAAACTGTCGGATGAGCCACGAAGGGACGCCTGGAGCCAAAACAGTCTCACCATTCTATGAAGACCGCATGATACCCACGACAAAATATAAAAACCAACCACCTGTACCCACGGCCCCAGCGTTATCTTGCGCGGTAGCTCCGATACAGATAATCGCACACGAACATGTCGGCGGCGGCTTCCGCGCGGGTGAGAACATCAGGGCCCTTGAGCGCGGCTTGGTCCGTTCGTCCGACTGTCGGTCATCCCCAGATCGCAGAGAATGTCTCTGAGGAGCTCCGGCTGCGGTGGCCTTCAGCACGTCCGAGCATCGCCGGCGGGGGGGGGAGGGGGGGGGGGGGGCTGGCGGCCGCAGCCACCACGGGCCACATCCCGCTATCGGCGGCCTGCCCCCCTCTTCCCCCCCCCCCCCGCCTTGGCCGCAGTGGAACGTCCGAAGGCTTCGGAACGGTCACGCATAACCCTCTTAGGGAAGGATTAAAGCGCGCGATCCGCTTTTCAGAGATAGTGTAAGATTGCTGAAATTACCATAGTCCGGATCACTCTGCGCAAAGTCCCACCTCTAACTCTAGATACGGCCCAGTCGCACGGTCCACTTTCAAAAGGTGTCCATGAGCGACGACGCGGCGATGCTGAGTATGCCTGGTCGCAGCCAGCACGGGTCGAGCCCGGCCGCCCTGCCCCGCCAGCCTGCCCGGTGCCAGACAGTCTCGGGCCTCGTCGACGCCGGCGGGAGACGTCTCGCTCGATCCCGGCGGCCCTGACCGCGGGACGTAGCTGCACTGATCACATCCGCCACGGCGCTCCGATCGCTCTGCAGGTGCGAGCGGGGACGGGGGAGCAGGGGGGGGAGGGGGCACAGCCGGCCCCCGGGCCCCCGGCCGGCGGGCGCCGCCCGGCTGCGGCCGCGTCTCAGCCGTCCCTGGAGCCAGAGCCCGACCACCGGCCGACGGCTCAGCGCATCGGCGCCCTCACATAAACAACAGCATTACGGCTCCCGAGAATTCTCAATCTTTCTTGTTACGTGATAGTATCAAATGCAGCGGATTGTGGGTCTCACGGTTTCACCCGAATCTAGCACCAGGTTATGTATAGCCCGCCTTGCACGCGGTGTGTGGGTTCTGCCGCCTCACCGTCGCACACACACAGCAGCAATCCGGTGTTCCCGGTGCTCCCAATCGCAGCCGTGTTCCGGGCTCCCGAAGGCAGCACTCGGGACAGCACACGGCCAATGCAACGTGGCAGCTGACTGTCAATCGAAGGCCTCTTCCAGGGACGGAAGAACGCATATACAGCAGGAATCAGCGGGCGCCGCATAACAGATCAGCCCCGATCAGCATCACCACCGCCGCGCGTCATGTAGCGCCGCCGGTCGGCCGGTGCGTACTGCCATCCCCCACCGACACGGCGCCGGACACGGCCGCCTCCGGCACTGCGCCTTGTCCAGCAGCCTCCAGTCCAGCGGCGGCGGCGGCACCGGAAGCACGTCACTTCCCGGGGCCGATCACCCGGGCCGCGTCACCGGCGCACGCGCCGCCGCCGCCGCCGGGGATGAACCGAGCTCGGACCAGGCCGGTACCGGCAGATATGACTCAGAAGGCCCCCGACGATGGGGAAGGAGGCGTGGGGCGGGGGGAGGGGGGGGGCATGTGCGTCAGAACCGGTCCCCCAGACTGGACAGGCTAACCGGATGTCGGCGGGCGCCACGGGCGGGGAGACCCCGGAGCGGCCGCCACACGTCCGCACGCGCGAGAGAGCCGGCTCCTGGAGATGGCAAACCAAGATAGTGATATACCCTGTGACCTGCGCCGACTCATACCCCAATGACTTGCAATGCCCCAAGGGCCCTCGGGCATTTCATCGACCCTTGTAATCTCCTATCACAGGGACAAGAATCCCGACATCCTCCCTCTCCGTTCGTCTCCAGTGGTGTCCACTCCTGCCGGCGGAGGGTCCCGTCCTTCCGAAACAAGTGGTCTTCTTCGCACGCTTGAATGGACACTTAGTCCAGATCACGGTGGCAAGGGCCAGCGGCGGGACGGATGGGACAAGAACCCGTGTATTTACCAATCCCAAAGCATACGAAGCCAGTGTTGCGCCCACGTTATGTGTAAGATACAGATAATCTAAAATGACAACTTTGCAATAAATCAACAGATCAACAAATAACACAAACACTTGACATATCTTATTACAAGTTGGCTGCATGAAAAAAGAGGCCTTTTTCGGCGGTGGTAAGGATGTGTTGTGGGCTGATTCAGCCCCCTTCATGTGTGCGTGTGGGTGTGGGTGTGGGTGCGCGATGCATGAACTGGAACAACCAACATACCGAAACAGACTATGTGGGACGCGCTCAACTGACAAAGACCTCCTTCAGCACACCGCGTCCACATCATCGCGCGCTGCACCGGCTGAGCCGTCAGCGCGCCACTGCCGTCGGCCGGCGCGCGCCGCTCACCGTCCGTTGGCGGGCTCGAGGCGCCAGTGTCGGCGCTGCTTGGCGTCGGCCGGCATGCAGCGGTGCAACGGCTCCAGGTCCTCCAGCGTCTGCAGCGTCGTCTTGGCGTTGATGGCCACGCCCGAGAGCCGGAACGACGGGCCGCACTCGCGCTTCTTGCGACCGCCGGCTGCCAGCGCGGAGCGGCGCGTCAGACGGGCGGGCGCCGGACTACGCCAGACGGGAGGGTCTGGAGCGGCGTGACAGTGACCGCAGCAGTCCACGCTGGAGACAGGGCCCGGCGGCCAAACGGCACGGCACCCGGCCTCCGCCGACACAAAACCCAGCTAGACATTCCTGCACGTCACGTTACTGGAGTTCGCAAGAAAATGCGAACCACGCAACTATCCCTCGTGACACTAGTGCTGACACCAGCCGCCTGTTAGAACGATGCCGTTATCGAGCCCACTCAGCACGGCTGTGTTCACGCTCGCCCCGCCTCCCCATCAGTCCGAACAACGCGGCCATCTGGTCGGCGTCTGAGAGCCAGGCGGCACTCAGGGGCCTGTGTACCGCAGGCCATGCGGCTCGTCACGCAGCGCCACGACGCAGGCGCCTGTGGCGAAGGTTCGCCTCTGGTCAGACACGCCCGATCGCCTGCGGCGGGACCCGAAACTACGGCCGGAGAGCCAGCCGCCGCCTGCGAGCCCGGCGCTCAGTCCGTCTAAGTACCAGGGAAGGGAGGGAGGCTGAGGTCTTGGAAGGGCCCGGCACGGCGCGTCACTCCGCGCCCTTCCCCGGGCGGTGGCGCCCGCTCGGCGGCGTCGGCCGGCCACTGACCCTTGGCCTGGTCGCCGTTCTGCGCGGGGCCGGCGGCGGCGGCGGCGGCGGCGGCGCCGCTGTCCTTGGCCTGCTGCTGCTCCAGCAGCGCGTCGCGGCAGTAGCTGATGATGGTCTCGCCCAGCCGCCGCAGATCGGACAGCGGCTTCTCCTGCAGCTCGGCCTCGGTCGAGATGGCCTCCAGCCGCTCCAGCGGGCAGCCGAACCGGCGGAACGCCTTGAAGAAGCGACGTACCTGCGCGCACGGGCGGCGGGCTTTGCGTCAGGACCGGAGGCGCACGCGGTACGCAGACACGGATCTGACAACAGGCAAACGGCTATCCACCCGGCCGACGGCACATATCGGGACACGACATGCGCATGCGCATCAGGGCGCACGGAACTTCTGACGTTACATATGACATCGCACCATAGCGAAAACCACCGCCACTACCAAGTTTCCTGGGGCAGGGATCGAACTCCAGACCTCTCGATCGTCCAGCGCAGTCGCTGACCGACAGGCAACCGCCTGTCGCACGGCGGTGAGGCCGGGTCTCATGCTGCGCACGGCAGTCCACAGCCGACGCCGCGAACACCGGCCGAGCAGCAGCCGCCCACAGCCGATCCGTTGGCGGGCGGCGGCGCGGCACGGGCCCGCGCGGCGACCCGTCGCCGGCGGCCCTGCACCCACCTCGCCGTCGGTGAAACCCTTGACGCGCTCGCGCTGGTTCCTGCGCGTCTTCTTCTTGGCCGGCTCGCCGGCGTCCGAGTCGGCGTCGTCGGAGCCGTCGCGACGCCGCTTCCGCCGCTGCTCGCGCTCGTCCTCAGCCGCCTCCGCCGCCGCCTCCTGGTCGCACAGGCGCCGACGCCGCCGGTCAGAGCGTGCGTGCTCGTTGATTGTTGGCCGGTCGTAACCGCTCCATGTTCGCGTTATTTGCAGCAGCGTGCACGTGCAGACGGCACGCAGCTACACGTGCCATTACACGTTACACGTGCAGATAGCGACGTAGTCAGCTGTTCTGCTAATGAGCCCAACGTGCGTCACCAGCGGGCCACTTATCCCGCTCTGGCACACGGTCGGCGGGGAGCGGCCGAAGGCGGAAAAGACAGACGAACCCACACAACAGGGATGACCAGGACAGCGCGACCCCGGCGGCGGGAACGTCAGCACGCTGACAAGGCTTGCCAATCGCTGGCTGATTACTTGAGCGATGAGCGATGATGCGACAATCGCATGGCCGCAAAGCGGCAGTGGCGATGACAGGGACAACGCAGGTAAAACCGGACACGTGGGCAGTCAGCGGAACATCGGGCCCGTCGTGAGCCGCCTCCGCTCTTGCGCGCGCGTCAGATAAACAGCAGGCGACACCGCGCCAGACAGTCCAGAGAGCGTCAGACGTCCCATCGACAGTCGCACAGCAGGGGGACGTGGGAGGCAGCCCTGTGCAGAAACAATCTCCCCGGCCAGACAAGGCCGCCCGGCGCTTCGGCACCCCACCACGTCCGGGATGAGGCCGCTTTCGAACGCCACACGCTCCAACACCGGCAGCCCAGCAGCAGCCTTCAATCGCAAACCGATTATGTTCTGGGATTCCGATTACAAAGCAAGGTCACGGCTGCGGAGCGCGGCTGGCAGCCCGCTCCGACATCCCACTATCGACGCTCGTAAGCCACCGGCCACGAAACAATCCCATTCTGCCAGCCCATGACAGCGGGTGCCCTGCTCAGAACAGCGGATTACCAGGGTGCAGTCTGGTTACCGGATGCTGCGATCCACCGCGTCCCGTGTCTCCCGGTCGCGGCGGGGGGATGAGCCGATTCGGTGACGGCGTACCTGCACCGTCTTCCGCGAACGGGGCGGCAAGTAGAGGTCCTCCACCTCCCGCTGGCGCTCCTCCTCCTCCACCTTGGTGCGCAGGTCCGACGGGATGATGTCATCCTGACGGGGCGGACGGGCGCGACACGTCAGAGCACAGCGGCGCTGTAGCGGCCCGCACGGGACGCGGCGGCGCGCCACGGCAGCGAGGCGGCACGACACGCGGACAGCGTCACTGGCTCGAGCGCTCACGGCACGCCCGAGAGCGGTCGGAAGCAGGCGCCGTGCTGGTGCTCTGCGCCGGTCATCCCGCCCTCCGTAAGCCCACGGTACGTTTCTTCATAATCCGACGGTATCGCCTGACTAGACATAGTAACGACGGCAACACCGGCATCCCAATACCCTCTCTCTCTCCCTCGCGCGCGCTTAAGCTAGTTCATCGCGTTTGAGAGGATTGCCTGGTATCACACACTAGTTCTCGCCCCGTGCCGCTTCTTCCTTCCTGTATCTCGCGAGCGTCCCCACCATCAGCCTCACCCACAACACCCACCACCACCGCCATCACCACCAACACACTGCCATCATTGTCATCATCACGCTAATGCAAACTAATCCTAATCCTAACCACTATCATCATCATAATCACCATCACCACCAGCAGCAGCACGGTCGCCTTACCCAGTCCTTGGTGGTGTCGTCGGCGGCGGCGGACGGGGCGTCGTCGGCAGCCGGCGGCGGCATGCTGACCTCGTCCTCGTCCACCTGGAAGCTGGCCACCTTGAAGGCGGAGAGCAGGTCGGTGGCGGGCGCGCTGGCCGACTCATCCTCGCGCGTCTCGGCCCGCTGCAGGATCAGGTCGATGTCGCACTGCCGGAGGACAGCGGCCAGGTCAGTTCAGTCCAACAGGTAGCACAGGCGGACCGGTGTTGACGCGGCGCCGGCTGGTCACGCGGCGGCACAGCGCCGGTACGGAAAACCCGGGGCACAGTCACAGACGCAGAGGGATCAGCGGTTGAGTCCGATCAGTCCCGAGGCCTCACAATGGATTAAGCAGGTGAACAGCCAGTGAGGCGGCGGCCAGTGTGCCGGACGGTGGCGGTGATGGCCGGCAGACAACAAACGCGCCACCCCATTTTCCGCCGACAGACAGGATCGGCCAAGTGGCGGCCAGTCAGACGGCGGCTGGCAGCTAGCTCGTCAGGTGAGGCTTTGCCGCGCCTGGCGCAGCCGACCCGAGCTGACGCCGACAGACCGCTTCAGTCCGGGGACGATCTGAGGCAGGCTCACGGCTCACCTGCGCCCGCCAGATACGCACACGCGGAACCGTCGGCCGTGGGACCGGGCCTGGTGACGTTTCGCTCTGTGTCAACTGTTGGATACATCTCATAAACCGAGCGCGTGGGCGACGCCGCGTCTGGCCCGGTCGGCCGGCGCCGCGCCGCCCGCGACGTAACACAGCTGGCCTGACCGGCCCGCCGCTCCAGACCCGTCCAGACCGGGAGCACCGGTCATATTCAACCTGACGGACCTTGTTCTGCCATGCACCGTCGGCCTGGGCCGGGCCGGGTCGGGCCAGATCTACCCGGCCAGGCACGGCCCGGTACAGCCCGGTCCGGCGAGGCAGCCCGGTCCGGCGAGACAGCCCGGTCCGGCGGGACAGCCCGGTCCGGCGAGGCAGCCCGGTCCGGCGAGACAGCCCGGTCCGGCGGGACAGCCCGGTCCGGCGAGGCAGCCCGGTCCGGCGAGACAGCCCGGTCCGGCGGGACAGCCCGGTCCGGCGAGGCAGCCCGGTCCGGCGAGGCAGCCCGGTCCGGCGAGACAGCCCGGTCCGGCGAGACAGCCCGGTCCGGCGAGACGGCCCGGTCCGGCGAGACAGCCCGGTCCGGCGAGGCAGCCCGGTCGTCGCCGCCCGACTCGAGGCCCACCGGTGGCTGGCGACAGCCCCGAGGCGTTTGTCGCCGTCGGCGGTCGGCCGTCCACAGCTGCCATCAGTGCCGCTCCGAGGCGGCCCCACATGTCGGCCGCTCCACCCCGGCTGACGACAGGCGACACCGGTCCTGACCGGTGTCCGGGGCCGGGGCCGGCTCCGGGCCCGACGCGGAAGCGGCGGCGGCGGCGACATCGGCGGGCGACGCTGGGCTGGACGCGGTAGACGGGCGCGCTGGACGACAGCGGCCGGCCGGGACTGCCGAGGGCGTTCGACCACGTCTAGAACGATGTGGTCCGATGAGCTGATCTGGCCGCGGTCGGAAGGCGCAGTTACGAGGCGGACAGATTGATAAAGGATGTAGGATATGTAGGATGTGTGTAGAATGTGATTGATAAACGACGTGTAGGATGGCCGGCGAATGGTGTGAGGTGGGAGACTTCCGGAGGGAGACGACCGGTAGGTGGTTGGAGATTATGGGCGCGAGACGGAAGACAGCTGGTCACAGACGCGGGGACGGCGACAGCAGCAGGAGGCTGCTGGTGGCTCGTTAGTATGCGATCGGCGGGTGGTTGGAAGGCCCACGTGTTCTGACGTTATCAGTGAGCGCTGGATGATCGGGCACCGGCAGAGGGGAAGGGAGCTGGAGGACGGGCGGTGGAGGACCGGCGGTGGAGGACGGGCGGTCGGGGACGGGCGGTGGAGGACGGCAGTGGAGGACGGGTGGTCGGGGACGGGCGGTGGGGGCCGGCAGTGGAGGACGGGTGGTCGGGGACGGGCGGTGGAGGACGGGTGGTCGGGGACGGGCGGTGAGGGCCGGGTGGTCGGGGACGGGCGGTGGAGGACAGGCGGTCGGGGACGGGCGGCGGGGACCGGAGAGCGGCCGACAGCCAGTGGTCGGCCGGTCGGCCGGAGCCAGCCGGCCCGCCGCCCCGCTCGTGACCGCCCCGGTCACGTCCCCGCCGGGCCGCCAAGGCCGGCCCGCGCAACCCGACCGTGTTCACGTCCGCAGGACGGCTGCCCAGACGAGCTGACCCGCCGACCGAGAGGAGCGGCCCGGGCCGCGCGCGCGCGCGTCACACGCCTCATCGCGCCGCACCACCTGCAGCACCGGCGCCGAGAGCCGCCGGTGCTCCGGGCGCGCCGGCGGCCGCGTGGCGGCTGGGCGACCTTCCCCAGCCGGATAGCGGGCTCAATTTTTGCATGACTCAGTAGCAGAACGCAGCTTAACGAAGTCATCATCGGAACGCATTTTACGACGATCCAGACAAAGCCGACGCTTGTAGAATACTGCCGCTACAAAGCCGGGCGCCAATTCCTGAGCGAATCAGGATCTTAACTTTTACGGCCATGAATAGCTCCTTGAATTCGTGGTATCAATCGCAGCTTCGTCAGACAACCCCGCTGACCACTTGAAAACCCACCCGACCCGCATGCCAATAAATCCGACCATAATTGCATGCCCCTTACAGCAGTCTTCACGCGAAATTCTTGCTTCCCACGCAGCGAGACAATGCCCGTGTGATTATCCCGATGATCGGTCTCGAGAAAGAAGTGCCCGTGTGGTCCACTTCTGAAGACAAGGTCGCTGGGAGTCCGGCAGTGGGTCCGGGAAGGGCGCTGGCGCTGGCGCTGGCGTTGGCGCCATGACCCAGCCGCGGACGCCGCCGCCGACCTCCCCACCGCGCGGGACGCCGGGGATCGGCACCAACACAACGTCAGTAGGGGACGGACCGTCCAGCCACAGCCGACACTCCAAACCCAGATATAACAAGGTGCACTTCACAAACGAGCTGTCTCACCATGCCACCATCTGCGATGGTACGCGCTTGGCGTCAACATGTATACAGCGAGTCACGACGTGTCGTGTTCCCAGCTCGTCCAACGCCCCTGCCAGGCCGCCGAGACGATCCAACAACGCTACGGACCTCCACGGACACACCTGTCCACCTGTACCAGCCGCGCGCGGCGCGGGCCGGGGTGTGGGACCGACCTGGGCCGAGCGGGGCGCAGCGACGCCGCTGACCCGCGCCCCGTTGCTCAACGCGGCCCGGCGGCGGCTGTGCAGGGCCACCTCTGACCCGGCCAAATTTACAGCTCGTTGGCCGGTAATACGGGGTCAGCGAAGGCACAACGGGGGGAGGGAGGGAGCCAGCTGCGGAGCGGCCAGGCGGCGGCGAGAGACCCGACCACCGGGGTCGCAGATGCAGCACTGCAGCACTGAGCAGATGCAGCACTGACCACACCTGTCCTCCGTCACTGTGCACTCGGCTGCTGAGGCCATGTGGCGTCATTCGCACCTCATCCTGGCAGGCATGGCGGGCACTGCGGGGAACCGAGCCCCGTACCTCTCGTTTGGGGCACAGCGGAGTCACACAGAGTAGACACAGCACGGACCTGCGGGAAGGGACTGGACCGAGACGGCAACGTCACGGACAGCAGACACAGCACGGACCTGCGAGACAGTGTCGACGGCGACCCGGGGACGAACATAGCAGGGACGGCACCGGGACAGCAGAGACACAGACTGCAGACACAGCGCGGACACGCCGGGACAGCAGAGCCACAGACAGCAGACACAGCGCGGACCACACCGGGACAGCGGCGTCCCACGGAGACGGACATTCAGAGGACCCGGCCTCGATTCGGCGCAGCGGGTGAGTGCCCAACTGCTCTTGCGGCCGCCAGCGAAGGAGAGAGGCCGACCCAACGGTGGCCAACGCTCACCAGCACACGCAGCGATCAATGGGCAGATGATTTGTGTCGTTACAGCCGGTGCGGTGACATCTGACCGTCGGCTAGTGTGTGTTAGGGGCGGGGGGGGGGGGAGGACTCCCTTCCGCTCTCGGGTCCAGGGCTTCAGGGTCGTAGCGGCGTCCCGCCCTCGCCCGGAGCCCGTTATCGCCTGCGCCGCACCGCGGAGGCGTCTCCTCACCGTGGGCTCCTCCTCCTCCTCCTCGTCCTTGCTGAAGAGCTCCTCGGCGCCGAACTTGAGGATGGCGTTCAGCTCGTCCTTGTTGAAGGGCGTGTTGGTGGCCGCTGCGGACGGAGAGAGGGGCCGGGTCAGCGCGGACTCCCGGACGCCTGCGACCACAGGCCGCCGCACGGTGCAGATCACTGATCGCTTCCACCGCACCGCTCGTCTCAAATGATGGACACGAAAGTAGGAAACACGCGTTCTGAACTGGTGTAAAAGACTCGGTGGCTTCGCAAAATTGAGGTATCCTTCTTAACATTCCGGTAAAATTTCAAGTACCCGAAGGACATCTGCAAGGGAAACATACCAACGCCGCATGCTACCAATGTCACGTGTCATGCTGAGGAAAACACTAAATGTTTCAGCTGACCACAGCTCACATTAAGTCAGTGTCGTTATCGGAACGTCGCCAAGGGTGCCTGGCTACAAAACCGCCTCGATTTTCGCGCCCAGCAGCATGCCATGCCCGTGTAGCGATGCACGCTATACCATAAAGTAGCCGGACGGACGCACCCGTCCATTATCCCGATCACCAACAAGATGTTCTTCCCATGACACGAGCATGTATCTTTCATTTCAATGTTCAATTAGGCTCAAAATTGTTGCGTTCATTCTTTCATGTTCCATTTATCATCTTTCCTTTCAGCCTTGTGTCTGTGTCAGAGTCTTTCCCGTCAGTATTCCTGTGCTGCCACTGCATTGTCCGCAAGACATATGCGTGTCGAAATAAAAAAGATCGCCCCCAGACAGCTAAGAGCACGAACCCTAAGATACATGCAGTCCCGGTCAACAACCAACCCAACGCGTTCCATGTCCACCCCCGCCGTGTCACAGCGCGCCCCTCTCCCCCGTCCGCGCGGCTCGGGGCCGGCGGCGCCTCGACCGCGCGGCGCCGCTGCGACCGGCAGGTAGATCACCGCCGGCGGCCGGCCGGCGGGCGTCAGCCGCACGACGCGGACCAGCTCGTTACGCGCGGCGCGCGGCGCGTACGGCCGCGCGGTCGGCGGCGCAGAGGCGGGACCGGTCCGTGCCAGGCGCCGCCGGGGACGCGGCGGCGTGACGTGGCGACGGCCCCCGGCGCCCTCCACTCCCCGCCCGCTGCTGCACCATCGCCACCCGCCTCGGCCGAGACGGCGCCGTCGCCGATCGCTCAGCTCGTTGTTTGGGACTGGGGCGGGGGCGCATGCAGCGGTCGTTTTGCGCCATTCCCGGACGCAGGAGCGCACCGAGGCGACGACGGCAGAAGAATGGCTTGCGCAAGTGTTACGGGACCGGCGCGCTGCAGCGCAGGGCGGACCGCCGGCCGGTCCGCGAGCCTCGGTCAAGCTCACCAAGCCGGCCTTGACCCCGGCCATTGCCTGCCAGATGTGGGCGCACTCCACCCCGGCTCGGAGCGCACCGTACCTCCCGGCCGACCGTCTGTGACGCCACCGGTGCAGGAACGTCCGTTTCGGATGAAAACACCGCCAGTCCGCCCGTACGGCGATCGTTACCGTCGCTTTATGGCCTTGCGACGACCCACTGCCATGATGAGGTAAACGCCACCGCCTGCCGCTGGCTCTAATATCCGACCTTTAGCTGCGATTGAGCACGCTACCCGGCGCAAACGCTGCACGCGACGCGACGAAATCCTAGGAATGCCTTCATCACTGCCTGCGTCATGCCCTCAGCTCGCAGCAGTCGGTCAATCATCCGACTCCTAATCAGAGATTGCCTTCATCTCACGGCACCTGCCGCTCAGTCCGGCAACGTCGTCCCACGCAGCAGCCGGCGCGCACGGTAGGCCGCCGTGCGCCGGCCGGCCGTCTGACACGACGTCCGTGCGCGCCGCCACCCTCGGGCTCACCCCGATCAGCCGACGTCAGATGTCACCACCTGCGCGGAGAGCAGCCTCGACGGACGGTGATCATAGCGGTACTGTCGCGGACGGGGCGACAATGGCAGGGACCGGCTAACCACAGCCAGCGGGTCGTGCGGACGACACCGGCTGGGAGAGGCTAGCTTATTTGGGGCTCGGGACGCGTCGACGGCGACGGTCTTGTTGCGCGCTCGGCCTGCGGACGCCGTGTGCTTGCAGAGGCGAGGGCCACAGCGACCGCTCTCGAAGCTCGTTCGGCCGGACTTCGCACCTGAACACACCGCTCGTTGGCGGCAGGCGCGCTCTGTCGCTCTCGTTCTCGGCGTGAACGTGGCGGGCACGATCCCCAGCCAGCCAGCAGGCGCCAGAAGCGAGCGGCGCCCCGCTACGCCGGCGGTGAAGGATCGATTGATAAATAGATTTTTGGCGTTTTAAGACCGACCAACCGCTGTGATCATTTTGCGCCCAAAGCGTGCTTACCAAACTGCTGAGGTGTGTTAACAGCCTAAAAATCAATATCATTGACAAACAGAAACAGCTGTTCGGGTTTAAGAGAGCATGGATTGTCTCAAAGCATATAGCGCGATGTCAGAGACAAGGCGTGGACGACGTAAACGACCGCCAGTGGCGGGCAAACAGAGCTGACCATGCGGCAGCCTGCACCGCCCGTGGCGGGGGACGCGCAGTCGAAGGCCGCTCGGAGGGCGACCTGGCACGCGGCCTTGCCGCTGACGCAACGCCAGCCCTGCCATCGGTCAGCGCGGCTGCAGATGGCCGGGCGGGGGCGGCGGTGGGGCGCGGTTGCACGCGCGCCAGCCAGCACCGCCCGGCCGGCCGGTGCCGTATAAGGCGCGGGCAGGGCGCGACCCAGCACCAGCCGGAGGGCCCGACGGGGCCGCCACCGGGGAAGAGGGACCGGCCAACTCGGCCGACGGGGCCGTCACCGAAGAAGGGGGACCGGCCGGCACGACCGACGGGGCCGCCACCGAAGAAGGGGGACCGGCCGGAGCGATCGACGTAGCCGCCACCGGAGGAGAGAAACCGGCCGAGCGGAGCATGGTGGTCGGACAACGCTGGGCGGACCAGAGAATGACAATGGAACACAGAGCTGCAGAGCGGCAGCGGAACGACGCTTTGTGAAACACAAAGCTGCGCAGCCGCGCGTGCACGGCGCCGCCGGGATTCGCGAGCTGATGATCCCGCCGGTGACTCCCCTTCTGACCTCACCGCGGTCTCTCCATCGTCTGAGCCCGTCATCACCTGAGCTCGTCATCAGCGGAGCAGCAAAGCGTCAGGCAGCCGGCGCCTCTCTCATTCACCTCCCTGGCTGCTGCATACACTCCCGACGTGACAGGGCCGGCGCCGCGAGCGGAGCAGCGCGTCCTCCGCTGACACGCCGCCCGACAAGATAGCCTCGGCAAGACGGACAGCCGGCGCCCTTCGCATCTTCCATCCCCTCCCCACGTGCCAGCCGTGCTCCCGCCACGACAGGACCACCTGACACGTGGCGCGGCGCGCTCGGCCCGCTCTGGCCGGCAGCTCGCCACCTGCCGAGCTGCCGGCACGAGAGGAGCAGCGCGGCGCCGGCCGGACGGCTTCGCCCGACGGGAATGCGGACCTGCGGCCGCCGCTGGGGCCGCCTGCGCCGCTCACAATGTCGGTGCCAGCCGCGCGCAGCATTGTCGGCGAGCCGAGCGAGCGTCCACCCGTGACGCCGCCGCACGCCGCTGCAGGCGTCATCCCTCCCGCACGGCCGGGGGCGCGCGGGGGCCGCCACCGAGTCGCGCAAGACCCGGCCCCCGCCCCCGCCCCCGCCCCCGCGCCCTGTCCAGAACTGGACCGGCGCGGAGGCCGCGACACCTTTGGTCTCGTGACCGACCGCAAACCGCGAGCGAGCGAGCTGGCACGAGTGCAGAGGTCGACCGGTCGACCGGCAGGCCGGACATCGGTCCGGTGACGGAGCGGCGGCGAGGCCGCGGGACAGGCCAGATCGGCGCCGGCGCCGCCCGGGTCGCGCCAGGGCCCCCGGCCGGCGCCGGCTGACCCAGTTGAGGCCGCGGAGGCGGGGCGCGCTCCGCAGATCGGCGCCACCGGGACGCCGTCCTCCACACTCCAGCGTGGGAAACGATAGGCGGAGTGGAATGCGCTTGTAATTGCCTCACCTCTTTCAACCTCACGCGACATTCTGAGCGACCTAATTCGGGTGGTAGCGTACCTTAATACCAACACAAACGTACACGTGAGTAACTAGCTGCTTTGTTACCCTTAACCTTAGCGGACATTCGTAGCGATCGTCCTGAAATGACACTGCGTAGGCCGCAACTGCGTAAGCAAGCGTGCCAGCACGTCGCGTCGTCGGCTCGGTAACCGGCGGCGGCGAGCGCGGAGCAGCTGACGACACGTGATGACCGGACACGCACGCCCGGCACGCAAGCGTCCGTGCACAGGCACGTGCCGTCTCGGACACGCACGCGGCCGAGGACGCCGACCGGCGACTGCCGACCGGTAACCGCCGACCGGTGACACCGGTGACACCGCCGGCAAGCGGCAGGCGGCAGGCGGGGGCGGCGGCGTCACGTGGACTGATTGATAAGGCTTTCGCACCGCCGCCACCGCATGCCCATGCAGCGCCCGTGACTAATGGCATCACGTGAAAGCCAGTCGCGTCGCAAGGCACGCACCGCTGCGGCATGAGGGGCCCGGGCGAGCTCGGCGGAGCACCGCGGGCAGAGATAGGAGCTGCCACTCAGCGGTAAGCCCCGCCGGGGGGGGGGGGGGGGGGGGATCGCAACAAAGGCCAGTGCGTCCGGAGCGGGGCGGCCCGACACCAGCCGCTGCACACAGTGAGTGACCCGGACCTTTGGCCTCCTCGGCGCGTGCCACCGAGCTGCGGGAAAACCGCAGCCCACCGCCGAGCCCCGCTCGACGGGCTGCGCGAAACGCGGCGAGGCTGATGGCGCCCGCCCACGCCCGTCCAGGTAACTCGATAGCGACCGACAGCACCGGCGCGTCCTTGCCGCGCTCCGTTTGGGCCGTGGCTGACTTGCAAATGCACTGTACGCGGGCGGGGCCGTTTTGTTTGCGCGTCGCAGTGGCGTTATCAGCTGATGGCGCGTCCGGCCGCGGCCGCTGGGGCCCCGCCACACGCGCGGTCAGCGCCACCGTCCGGCCGCGGTGGCGGGCGCCCTGGGGCCTCACCACACG